CCGGACGACAAAGAATCCGTTTAACGTAGAAGAAACTAGGCTAAAGAAGAATAATTGTAATTCTTTAGAATCTTAGATTCAATGATTCATGGACGAAGTTTACGGAAGATTCAGTTGCAACGAATATTAGATTGAATTTCAAAGGAGTCACGCAGGAATATACGACGAATCGATCGAGTAGCAAAGTATTATGGTGAGCTCAGAGATCTAGGATTGACAGAAAGTACCTGTAAGTCACATAATCATGTTCAGAGAGGATTCAGGGCGAAACGAGGCGAGGAACGGATCGGGAAACGGCGAATACGAGTCGCAGGGACGTAGTCGAGGAGTCACGATAATTCGTGTGATCAAAGCGGCCGACTCGTTGGTGTCTCGCGCTGGCGTCGTCTCACCTTTAATAAAGCTATCTGGCATCTCTAATATCTCTTCTCCGTTTCCTCGTCCCCCCCTCTTGTCGCGGGGAAGGAAGAGGGACGGAGAGGGGTCGAGAGCCGAGAGGCTCGGAGCGAGAGAGGAGAGGACGGAGAGAGGGATTCTCCTCTCTGGCCGAGACACCTTTCCACAACGAGGCCTTGTTCACCTGGAGAAAAGACACGTCAGACGTGTACGCACCTCGTCTCTTCGGGGCCATCGATACGAGCACGCGGTGCGTTCCCTTCTTTTCGTTTCTCATGGCTCGGCCCGGCCGGGCTCGGCTCGCTTCCTCCCCGCGAGTCCTCCGCTTATTATAGTTACCATTCGCAGCCGATGGCTATCGGCGGCCGCCGTCAATTAAGCAATTATCGACACCTTCGGCGCGAACGCAAGGACCCAGAACACCGTGTCTGCTGGCTCATGGCCTCGAACGATCGATCGAATCGACAAGGAGATCCTTCGTGTTCCCTTGTTTATCCTCTGCGAAGCTTTTCTCGCTGATACCTTCGAGCTTCCGCTCTATAAATTGCAGAGTATTATCTGTTTAACCTGTTAGCTGTTTCCGACGAGTATACTCGTCATGAAGAGACGGCGAGGTTCTGTCTGTATACTCGTTCGGAAACAGCTAACCGGTTAAGTAGACATCTAACATAACTGAGTTAAGGAATATTCGTTTTTGGAAACCTCCAATTTATAGGTGTATGTTACTTGAATTTGTTTTGAGAAAATCAGTTATAGATATGAACGCGTATACATACTAGAATAAGGTACATCTCAAAGACGTCGCAACGGCTAACTAGGTAATATTGTAATCAGAATGGTGCGCTATTTGGCATTTGAACTAATCGCGATGACCCATCGTAGGTTTCTCTTATTACAGTTGTTTGAATCTGCTAATTTACGCAATGGAACAGGAATGAATTCGATTGCTCGGTAGTTCTTGTGTTTAATCCTTGCTCAATGGAACGAAAGTTTCTCAATCGTTTTACTTGGAAAATGTTGGAAAGTGATTTTTACGTTCAAGTGCCGAAGTTATTGGAAACATTCATCATTCCTGGTTCGCGTTGGGAATTGAATCATCGGGCCCGAGATTCTTATCCCCGGCAATTCAGCAATTATCGTCGTGTTCGCCGGGGAGTCGAAAGACTCCCCGACACTCGAACGGGAACGCGAAGATACGGAAACGTTTCTATGGACTTAATTGACCGTGGCGGCGTGCGAGAGCCGCTCGCCGAGTTATCGAGGTCCATCGGCGACGTAGTCCATCAAACAGACTCGTTAAGTTGATTAACCTACGATGCACCGTGCAACTTTCTTGCCCGTCGAATAAATGGTGGGACGCGCGAGATAAAACTGTGAAATATGCACGGTTATTAATTTCACGGTAACGATTGTCTGCGGCGGGACAGAGTAGATTACCCCCGGTCCCCGGGCGTAGCCTCTTTTCGCGGTTCTTTTGTTTCAACTGGCACTCCGCCTAACGAAAACGATTGTTCCGAGTCCATCAAATTTCTGGCGAATTCCGGAACTCGTCAACAGCAAACCGTACCATTTTTGTTCTGTACACACAGATATAGGTACACCTAATGGAACATCGAGGAAGATTATCTAAACGAAGTGGGTCGAGAATTCCGTTTCGTTAAACGGTGTCCACGCGTTCATCCAAACTCTCCTATTCAACTGATCGACGACTAACCAGACAATAACTTAACCCTTAGCACTCCGGATGGTTTTGTAATTTATCAGCAACTGCAACTAATTTTTATGGTATCCCTAGTGAAAATGAAAAATGCCATAACATTCCTTCTATCTTTCATTTTCCTTCTCAGTAGAAAATTTGGATGTGGAAAATCTAATAATTTTAGGGTAGTTTCTTTGATTCAATTAAATATTCAATATTATAACTGGTGCAATATTGGAGTCTACAGAGTTCAAAGGGTTAAGAGTAGTAGTACCTTATTAATAATCAAATTCAGTACTATCCCAGCCATCAATATATACAACATCCCACAGAACGCTGAAAATTCTCGACTAACCAGACAATAACTTAAGAACATCAGCGCCTTCTTAACCCTTCGCACTCCGTTTTCACCACTGCGACATCGTAAGAGAACCAGATACCTCCGTTTCCAATAGAACAACTTCAAAATGTACACGCGCCCTTTCTAATGACAAAGCGAAATCTTCAATCTTCCGCAGAAGCGTTCGCATCATTATAAATACTCCCGAGGTATCCGGTCGCTCACAGCAAAAGTGAACCTGAATTGCTGAAAGGTTATATTAAAACTCGCTCGGAGTGCAAAGGGTCAATAGTCGCCTTCAATACCATCTACCCGAGCCATTAAAGTGCATGTAATATTCCGCGGAACGCTGAAAATTCTCGTCAACCCGTACACGGCGCAGGTGTACTGGAATCCTGCGAGTTAGCAAGATTTATCGCGAGATTAGCGGTCGCGAAAGTCCGGCGTAATGAACGGCGCTCGTGTTTATATGTTTCGCAATTCGTCATCGAAGAGCGAGTGCATTTCACAGGGAGGGAGGGAGGGGAATGAGTGCATAGATCAAACGGCGTTTAATAAACCGCGGGAAGCGTCACGGAAGATGGTGGCCGGTCGAACGAGCGCGGCGGGGTCGGTTAATTGGCGCGGATCGGGTTTCCTTAAATCAAAAACTGTCGCCGCGGTCCGATGCCGCTCGTATATCAGATATCGATCTACCGTTATTTACGGTGGCGACCGGATCGTGTCAATGTAACAGCTTCCAGGACGCACCGGTGCGTCCTGATCGGCCGCCTGACCGGGCCCCGGCTTGTCCCCCGCCGTGTGTTTGTCCTTACAGGACCCGTTTAACGCCGGCCCGTACACGCGTGTACGCGTGTAGCAATTTACCGGGCGGAGAGGAGGCGTCAGGTCGGCCAGCATAAATCAGGAAGACAACGCGTCAGCTTATTAACCGCCGGCGATTTATTTGCGCTCGTTCCCGCGGCAGCACGGCGCTCGACCGACGCGAGTCGGCCCGACGAAATTCGGTAATTTTCGTGTCGCGAACCTGGCCGGCTACCGATTTCTCGGCTGGATTCCTCGCACATTGTCGCGACAGGACAACAAGGGGGCGCGGGGAATTTCGCGCGGCTCGATCGCCTGGAAGCTCTTCCTCCGCGTCTCTCTCCTGGCAGCGGGAGGACGGTCCCGCGCGCACGTAACCGAATTCCGGGCGTAAATTCAACGACTTCCGTTCTCCATTTGCCGGGGAAGACATCGGTGTATTCGACACTTCCGGTTGCTCTTGGAACTTCGATGGACGGTAATGCGATCGATTTGAGGCAGAGGTTCGCAACCTGCTTTAATCGCGATGCGGCGTTATCTTTCGAGTGTTTTCGATGCAGTTATCTTCGCGGGATATTAACCCTTGACGGTCGATGGTGTTTCGAGTTACTGAAAGATACTGTGTAGATGAGCTGAAAGAAATTTGTAGAAGCGACCTAGGGAAATGCTTAACGTGTTAATTGTGAATATTGTAAGAATAACAGTGATGAAAATGAATCTTTGCACTCCGAATATTTTGAATATCTTAATGATTCGTTTCTATAGTGAAACATTGAAGAACCTAAAATTGTCGAAAAGGAAATGTTACAAATATTCATGGATTCATGTCTTAATTTCGTTTGTTTTATTCGAGTAGAAAAATTTTACAATTTAAAATTCATTATATGGTATCTATAGTGCAAATTATGACTCTGTAACAGAGTCAACGGAGCACAAAGAGACAAAATGATTTTTACCAATATGTCTGCCACAATTGCTCCAATAAGGGTTAATAGTTGCGAATGCTCATAGGAAATCAGTTGATAACTTTCCTAATGGACTCGAGAGTAAAGTAAAAATTGGAATGTTTATTAGACACTTCTCTAAATTTAGAACAAGTCGATTATTACTAGGAGAACGTCCATAAATTCTGCTGTCGATAGTCGCGCTTCCTGCTCGAATGACGTAACGGTGAATACGTCGAATACGCGGAGCAGAATTTTCTATCATCTGGTGCACATGTGCAACTGCGTAATTGAGTTCTTCGCTGCACGGTCGTTACGTAAGGAGCAACGGCAAGACGAAGGAGGAGCGTATCAGGAACGGCAGGAAATATGGCGAGGGGTTAATCGTGTCGGGGAGGGTTCGACCGCAATTAATCGAGGGAGGAGCACGTCGGATTTTAAGGACTCCTCCCGGTGCGTGAGGACCCACCGCGGGTTCCGTCTCCCGTTATTTATGTTCCTGGATCCGTGGAGCTCGGGGGGTCCTGAAATGTCCACCGTTCCTCCGGAACGAGATTCGACTGCGACTATTAATTATTTCTGGCCCGTTCGCGCCTAAAATTGCCCCGGCGTCGTACGCGTTACTCTAAATTAACCGTACACGACTTTAATACCCTTCGCCATCATTTTTACTCAATCATTCGATATCTTTCCTCGATAATTACTCACGACTCACCGAAATGTTCAAAACGACTTACCGATCGATGATTCTTGCGGATCTCCTGCAGGATTCTCGAGGAATTCAGGTAATGAACGAAGATTCTACGTTTCACCATATTTTTATTTATCCACCTGTATGTACATTTGTCTCACGGTATAGCTGCGACTCTAGAGATGTTGTCTCGCGAACGATCGTCACGTTGCGTCGATCGCGCGCATCCGTCTATCTACGATCGCGTATATTCCGTCGGCATACGCGCACGCCTGGAATAATTAACGAGAAAACAGCAGAAAGGGGAAGAAGCCAGCCGTTCCGTAAATTGTCAGTATCCCTATTGGCTCCTCTCTTTTCTTCCTGAATGTTAAACAGTATATGAGACCGCTCTCTCTCCCGTTGTACCTTCGAAATCCCGTGTTTCGAGTCACGACTACCGCTTCACCATTCGAGAAACGGCCTCCTCTCGTTCGAGACGGTGCTCCACGATTGTACAATTAAAACACGAACGGATTGCTTAAAGGTAAAATATAAAATTGTGTTGTCTTACGGTTACATTCGACGTGTATTATTTAAAATGAGCGGAGATTCCGCGCCGCGTCGGGCCGCCTTTCGTTCGTTAGAGGGGTAAAGAAAGAGGAAGCCCGCGGGTTGCGCATGAATTATTCAGCCGGGCGGTCCGCCACGCCGTAAATAATGATAATCATGGATCTCCGGTAATGATAACCGTTCGTCGATCTCGTTCGTCGGACGGATGATAATAATAGCGACAATAATCACACGCTGCTGGCGAAACGGACGACGCGAGCCGTCGCTGATTAATAGCCGCGGCGTCTACGGACACTTCGGACGCGCGATTCGATCAGTCCCATCGTCGATTCGATTCAATTTATCGCGCTAACTGATTTATCCCGCCGCTCTATTTGCCTCCGGTGATCGCCGCGCTCATCTGTCGTGCGGGAAGTCAGAGTTAAAGGTCCCCGTCCGGTTCCTGGTTTCAGGATAACGACGAGCCCAGGCAGTATTGGCTGGACGCTAGTCTGCGGACTTCTTCGGGGTACCGGTACCTGTAACAGAAAACCTCATTTACTACTCCATGCAATAAAAAGTCGAATCTAACAACCGGAACTCATGAGAATTATAAAAACTATAATGCTTCCTCGCTAACTGTAACATCCATTTGAAAACTACGTCGCCCCGATGATTACCAGACGATATAAAACAATCGAGAAAATCAATCAAAGCAACAAAAGCAATGGAAGTAATAAACCAATTTACTTCTAAATTCCATACCCAATAACACGTTGACGCTCACTTCGAGATCGGTGATGAACAAAAGCACCTCTTTCCTTTTAATAAGTTAATTCCCAGGGAACTCCGTCAAGATTCCATACTTTCGGAATGAAATTACATCTTTTATTCGTACTAAGAATATAGGACAACCATTCCCATTTCCACCTACATTCAGCGTTGCACGGCCATACGCAGCGTTTACGTCAACGTGTTAAAGGAATCACGACGAACGGACCCATTCACCCTTCACCGCGAGCAGGGCCGAGGAAAGTACCGTGGAAAGAGCGGCACGAGGCGGAAGAAGGGATCCAGGTAGAATAGAAGGTGATCCTCGCCGGGTAGCACGTAGGAGCACGTCGCTGTAGGTAAAACGTAGCCACGGCTACGTCCCGGGGCCCCTTTCGTCCGCCTTTTCCTGCCCCTCCCGTGGACCTGACCCACCGACGCGACGGTGGCAGCGGCGGCGCGCATAACAGGGTGGACGTTTAACATATGACCGGCTACCAGTGTTATTAATGCGCCGGTAGCGTCGTGCCCGGTTTCGTTCCTTTGCCCACGTACGGTGCCTACGATCCAGCGGCCGGGTCCGGGGCCACCCGCGGGTCCTCCCTGCTCCACGACGGGCCCTCGATCGCGGCCGGGCCCGGCACCTGGGGGAAACGATGCGATGCCGCGTACCGGAGACGACGGTAACACGACACTCGGACGGGAACCGCGCCGCGCCACGCCAACCCTCTCCGCGCGCCCCCTCCCTCAACGAGTTATGTCTTCCTGCTGGCTCCGGGTCTAATTAATATGTGTTTAGCCGGGGACAACCGTACCTGCTTTCTGGGATACCGGCCCACGGCGCTGGCCACTCCAGAAGCGGTCTAACTGGGCCCCTGCCCTTGTAAATCGTCCTCTTGTAAATTGGCCTGATCGAATCGCTGCGCTCCGCAGGATTGATGGCTACAAGCTACCCGAGTTCCTGGTCGCGAGCTTACACAGATTTCTTAATTGCCGCCGCTCTCGGGCCTGTTTTATCTATCGGACACTTCGGATGGAATGTCTGGGGTCTAGGGAACTTTAGTGTCTACGGGAGCAGCGTTGGAGTTAGATAGTTCGAGTTTCTTTTAATTCATACCGGTACCAAGGTGTTTGTTGTTACGAGTGAGTTGTAATTCATTCGCAAGGAAAATTCGCGAGGGCAAGGGGGTGTAAAAAATCGTCGTGGGTGTGCCTATTTGTGCCCGAAAAGGTGGAGGAAGCGTGCACAGAGCGACGCTCGCCGGGCTATAGGCAAATATCTCCCGCTCAGCCAGGACATTAGGAGTTCTCCGGCGTCCGGAGGATTATAAATCCTTAATACAGATCGGCACGCGATGCCCGGCTCGTTAGGGTGATGCATGGCCGACTCTGGTGTCCCGGGGTGTACGGTAGCCGATACCAACACACCGGAGCGCGTCCAGTATCCAGCAGCCGCGTTCCTGCGGGAACGGCTACACCCTCACACATAGCCAGCCACCAGGTAATAATGAGAGATCAGAGATACGGCTCGATATTAATTGTGCGCATCGAGTGTGGCGGTGCTGGTGCTGGTGCTTGGCGCTGCTGCTGCCGCTGCTGCTGCCGCTGCTGCTGCATCCACTTCGGTGGTGTTGGAGAGAGAACTGACTGCTACCGGCTTACACCGATCCTTCGACGCGATATGTGCGATATACGATACAGGACCGCGGACCTGATCCCACTGGCTCGCTCGCAGGACTCGCGAAAAAGCCACGCATGCCGGTTACTTGGTCCTGAGACTCGAGGACAGTGGAATTTTGTTACCTGCTTGTCGAGGATTTGTTCTATTGCCATGCGAATCGTCTCTTACACGACGCGTTATTGAATTTCTAATGGAATGTCGGTTAGAAGAGTTTTTATTCAAATCTGTGTTCCATCGACTGATTAAGATACATGCTAACTATGCTACACCATCGGAAGGAAGATAATTTTCTTCAAAGGACCCTCTAGCCAAAGGCCTGAAGAGCCTCTACAAGATGGCAGACTTTAGAAGCCCGGAGTCTCTATTTTAAAGCGTCCTTTTACTGTTTCGCGATTAATTCGAAAAGAGCGTCACCTCCAGACCCACAAAGTCTCCTAAATCGCGGCACAGAGTGGGGCGTTAGCAAGGAAAAAATCGAGGACAGGGGAAGTCCGCCAATCCCGATCGTCCTGCCGCTGATTGAGACGAATCTAGAGCTCCTCCTTTTGGTTCCTCCATCCCGGTACCCCCGAGCAACCCACGCCCATGTCCCATTCCTCGCGGATCCGAGAATCTCGCCTTCCCCCTCCCCCGTCGACGTGGAGGCCACTTTGAAGATACGATCTCGGAACAAATTACGAGCGCTGCTCGCGCTGTCCCGCCGTTTCCTCGTCCTTCGCAGCTGGACGGGAATAATCGCGGCCCGTTAGCGGGCCGAGTGAGATCGCGTCTTTTTAA